CAGTTTCAAGACTTGGGGGTGTAAAGCTTTAAAAACAGAAATCGGAGCCAGCTCACTGCCATCTCCACAGGGGGAAAAAAGGGTCTCCCACCCTAAAGCAAGCTGAGGCTCAGCTTTAAGTTTCTGCCAAGGGAAACTCAAAGTCAGGGGTTCACTTGAGGAATTAAGTCTCCTTTGTGCTAGCCTTTGGACATCAGATTTCCTTTTTCTGGGATGTAAATCTGTCCCTTATTATTCATGAGTTCTACCCTAAAGGAAAGGGCTGGTTCTGAGACAGTCAAGGTATAAGGGAGCTAGTTCCCCAGGGTCCCCTTTCCCGAACTTAACCTCTCTGTGACTGTTGGTTTTAGTCAACTTGACACAAACTAGAGTCAGCTGGAAAGAGGAAACCCCAGTTGAGGAACTGCTTCCATCACACTGGCCTACAGGCATGTGGCATTTCCCTAATTAATCAGGTCATCCTGGGTTGTACATGAAAAGCTGAGCGAGCCACAGAGAGCAAGCCAAGTAAGTAGCACCCCTCCATGTCTCAGAATCAGTTCCCACTTGGAGCTCCTGCTCTGATTTCCCACAATGGGCTGTGACTGGCCCAATAAGCCAAATACCTCCCCCCCATACTTTTAGCATAGTGCTTTATCATATCAACAGAAATCAAACTAGGCCACCCTCCCTCAGGTTCCCTCTTATCCTACCATCCCCACCCCCTGAAAATGAGTCCCAAATGCTTGCACCCAGGTGTTTCAGTGGTTTTTTTATTTATTTGTTTTTTGCTTTTTTAAAAAAAATTCCTTTTGGCTTTATTCCTCTAGAGACACTGGTTTTCCAGACTCCTTGAGGTACAGCGACTCAGAGCTGATTCTGACTAATATAGGCTGACTCCACAGTCTTACTTGGATACTTGGGGCTTGCCCACAGGTGCTAGCTTCTCTTCCCCCACTATCTAGGATACCTTTCCTCTACCACAGATCTTGTTCTTGCTTTTGGCAGCAGTAGGGATTGAACCCAGGGCTTTGTGCATACTAGGCAAGGGCTCTCTATCACTGACATACCCTTGACCCATTTTCCACTACTTTATTTTGAGGCTGAGTCTCCCTAAGTTACTGCAGTAGCTTTGAACACATAATCCTACTAACAATCCCTGAATAGCCTCTAGGGTAGCTGCACCACCAGGCTTGGCTTACCCCACTTTTTTCCTCCTAACTCCTATTCATCCTACAACACCCATCTGAGGGTGTACTTCTCTAACCACCAGGCAGAGAAGAACATCAGCTTCCAATAACTAACAGAAACTACAGATACTCTGGTAAGATAGCTGTTCTGAGTTCAAGTATGTATATGATGAACTTAGAAAGATGTGCTGTCAACTTGACACATGCTAGAATCATCTGGAAAAAGGGGAACCTCAAGTGAGAAAATACCTCCAGCACATTGGCAAGTCTATAAAGGCATTTTCTTAATTAATGGTCGATGTGAGAGGGCCCAGCCCACTCTGGGCGTGGTGCCCCTCAGGCAGGTCCTGGCCTCTATAATAAGCAAGCTTTGGGGAGCGCAAGCCAGTAAGCAGCACCCTTCCATGGCTTCTACTTCAGTTGCTGCTTCCAGGTTGCTGCCCTGACTTCCCTTCATGCCGCCCCAAATTGCTTTGGGTTAAGGTCTTTATTACAGCAATAGAAACCTAAGACCAAAGATAAGGATCTAAACAGGGCTGGGTCACACCTAGCCAGAAGTCCCACCTGGCTTTCTTCACCTCAGGATCTACTAAAACAGAGCACCAAAGTCTGGGATGACACTCGTTCAACTGCTCTTTCCCGCTTTTTTGATTTTTGTTTTGTATGTATGTATTAGTGATTTGTCTGCATCTGTGTAAGTGTACCATGTGATTGCCTGGAGCCCTTGGGAACCAGAAAAGGGCAGCACATCCAGTTTCCCACTGGAACAGGAATTACAGGAAGTAGTGAGCTACCACTTGGGTGCTGAGAACTAAACTGGGGTCCTCTGCAAAAGCAGCAAGTGTCCTTAACCCCTGAGCCACCTCTTCAGATCCTGAATGAAGAAGCTGTTATACAAGGACCACTAAAATGCCATTAGCCCAAAAAGAGCAGTTTGAAAAGAAGCAGGGCAATGAGGGACCCTAGATCTCAAAGTGTGGTGTAGCCTTTGTGAATGGAACCTAGTTACAACCAAAGCATCTGCAAGGCTGGTGAGTTCTGGGAATAGGTTCTGCATCAGGACAGAAAGTTTTACAGGTTACTCAATTTGTTCTTTTGTTTGTTTGTTTTTCAAGACAGGGTTTCTCTGTGGCTTTGAAAGCTGTCCTGAAACTAGCTATGTAGACCATGCTGGCCTCGAACTCAAAGAGATCCGCCTGCCTTTGCCTCCCGAGTGCTGGGATTAAAGGTATGCGCCGCCACCGCCCAGCTACCAGTTTGTTCTTATATTTCTTATTTTCCAAAGGAAAAGAGATTTAGAGGACAAGAAGGGCTGTGGAGTCCAACCACTCTTCCCCATCTGAAAGTTATCTTTTCAATACTGCATTTTAAATGTAGTGGTTTTGTTTTATTATATTTATTTGGCCTGGGGGTGTGACTCAGTGGTAGAGTGCTTGCCTGGAATGCACCAGACTCGGGATTTCACCCCACACCCAGCATATACTCTTAATAGTTCTGCTACTCAACTACGAGCATCACTGTCATGCACACACAAGATGAGAACACATTAGTAACTCAACTGTCTAATGGGATGAATGAAGCAATGCTTGCACTTCTCAACAAATGTCAATTAAATCCAGAACAGGTAAGACTGTACTTCTAGAAACAGAGTGGAGGGAGGTCCTACAACAGTCACTGATACAACAAATATTGAGGGACTCGTGCATGCCAGGCACTATGGAAATCACTATAATTAATGAGACACGCAAACCTCCCTAAAGTATTCACAGAAGACAAAACAAACATGAAGTGTGTGCACTACTGTTTAAAACAAAAAATGCTATGTGTTTTCAAAGGTACACATAAAAGACTATAATGAGTCAGAGGTGGAAAAAACCCTTGTAGCTGACCCTCGTAGTTCAATAATGAATTGGCAAAGCTGCTAATGGTAATGGCTTTGTAAGTGTTGGTTAAAAAAAAAAAAAATCAATATTCTGTCTTCCTATCTTTAACATTATATCAAGAGGCACTAACATTGATTTTGAAAAGCAAGAACACAGATCAATTCTCTTTTAGTGAAAACTATAACTAAAAATGCTCCCTAAAACACTTACTTTCATGGCTGAGTGACTCAAAGAAGCGTAGACTTGCCAACCTGAATAATAAAATTTACGGAGCCAAGGACATGGATTTCTGTAGGGGCCTATTTTACAGTAACTCAACAATAAGATAAATTCTGTTATATACTCTGCAAACTAAGAAAGCAAAAGAGAACTAAACACTGCACTTCCTTTGTCCTGTGATGAAATGAAACTTACTCTTTACTTTCTTCCACATATACATTAGCTTCTCCAGACACTGAACTATTGCTTCTACCAAAGTTGTTTCCTTCAAAGAGAAGACATGGAAACAGGAGTCTGATGCTCCAAAACTAATCTTAAGGAGCTGAGGTCTAACAAGCTTTTTCTGACTTGATTCAATGAACTCATAAATTTCTTAGAAATTGGGAATCGATTTCATCTCTAGTAATGGAAAGGGACATTTATCAATATAGTTCTTCAATATATTTTCTAGAAAATATTCCAAAAAAGATAATTCTTTGACCCCCCCCCAAAAAAAAAAGTAAGCCCAGAAGCAGTCTGGCACGGTCTAAGCATGTGGCACCAAAGGAAAAATTAAGCAGTCATAAGACTTATTTATGAATTTCAAAAGGCTCCACATCCACTTCATTCAATGTCTTCTGTGTTTCCAGGGATGAATGCCATTTAAGGTATGTTGGCAATGTTTCCCCACAGATCTGCATAGGAAATGAAGCAAGTGCCATTTATATAAAGCAAGATATAGATGATAAAATACACATGTAATACACTCTTCCTAGTTATATTCAAGAACCTAAGAAACAAATCAAGTCAAAATGTTTGAGTTTATATTAGAGAAAGTGCTGAAACGATTTTTTTTTAATGAACTTTTGCTATCTTTGCAAGTATAGGAGTCACTATGGAAAAAATTAAGTGTTTTCACATGGTCTTATCTTACCGGTGAGATGGTCTGGACCTTCTTCTCAAGTCCCTACATCTTGACTCTCTTCTACTACACAACTTCAATTAGGAAAACCTAACTACTTGATTGAAGCTAAAAACCCAGATTGTCACATACTACATACCTCTACCATGTTACAATTGTTTTTAGAATGCTTGTAGATAATACCCAAGTAGTACTTTCATTTATATTACCCTAGTGCCTATATCCAGGCAGCATCCCTCTGGAAAGCAAAAACACAGTACAAGGGAGAATACTGGAGGCAGAACTAGAGTCACTTCTGCTAACTAAGCAAACAGAAAGGAAGCAGGCAGAGGGAAGGAACTCAAGCAGTTGTCTGCAAAAGTGATGCCTTGCAATTTCCAGACACTTCCCCTTGGGCTCTAAGACATAAGATTTTAGGGAAGGAAGGCACTAACTACAGGCAGAAGCCCAAAGTTACTCTCTTCACAGTTCACTTGAGTTCGGTCAAAGATGTCCTGGAGATCAGTGGACTGTATACGAGAAAGGAGTGGTGATTCCTTTCTCGTTTGGGGAGCCAAGAACCGGACGAACTAGCGTCCCCAAATCATCTTGGTGCAAGCTAACACACCTGCAAAGCCAGGCAGCTCCTCCCTCTGCCCCTCCCATCCCCGAACTGGACACTGGTCAAGTGTCCTGTGCACCGTTAGCCCAAAGGCCACCCGGACTCTGCCAGGAGACAGTCCCCGCGGGCGAGGCCGCAGCGCTCGGAACCGAACCAGTAGGCGCGGTCTCCACTCCCACCAAGCCCCGGCCGGACCTCCGCGCGGCAGAGGGGCAGGCAGTCCGTACCTGTCTTCCGAGACGCTGATGACACCCTCCTCCTTAGGCACGATCACTGCCATGTTCACCACCTCCTGCGACCCCTCGACCCGTTGCAGCAGGATCGGCTTGCGGGTCAGGGGCTGGGGCTGGATCTCCGCCGCCATCGGAGGGGGCGCGCCCGGGGAGCAGCCGACCGCGCCGGGGGGCTGAGCTGAGGAGACAGTTCAGGCTCGCACTCAGGATCCGGCTGAAATGCGAAGCGGGCCTTCTGGAGCTGGCGACCATAGCCCTGCCGCCTGTCCAGGGAACGTGCGGGTTCTGGCTTCTCAAACCAATACCGCCGCCACACCGGCCGCAAGCCGGCGCCACCTAGGAGAGCAGGGGGCGGGGAGCGGGGGCGGGGCAGGGGCGGGTCCTGCCGCAGGGCGGCCGCTCCACTTCCGAAGGATGGGCACTGGCGGCCAATGCGCGTGCGTCAATCCAGCAGCCACTTCCGCTCCGTGTCCCGTCGCCTCCTTCCGCCTTAAACACTCCCTGGCTTGCAGCTCCGCTGGGACGCATGCGCACTGTTCCCCAGGTTCCCTAGCCTACCTTCCACACCCAAAATTTAGTCGTGTGTCCCGTGTGCCCCCCCCACCCCCGCTTTGTGAACGCGCTTGCCCAGAGCCCCACCCTCTTCAGTACGGGGTGGGGAAAAGCCTGCGTCATCTGGGCCTGAAAGGATCCTGTAAGAAGGACAGATGCGAAACTAGTTGTGTAGAGACTGAGCATGCGCGCAGATGACTCTTAACAATAATGCACCCGGGAGGGCGCTGTGCGGTCGGCTAGAATTAAGCTCCCGCTCCTGCCAGCCCAGCGTGGACTCTGGGTGTTGTAGTTTTCTTCATCCTCCCCTTCCTTGTTCCAGAAGGCCATAACCCCCACTTCTCAGCCCTGGGGAAGAGGTATGGGTAAAGGAAGCACAGCGGCTTCTGTGAATTATTGCCCAAGTCACTGTCAGAACTAATATCTAAGGTGGAAAACTAAAGAGCAGGCCCTGCTGAGCAAGAATTTTCCCCGTGTCACCCCCGTGGTGTATGGGGGTAGGGAAAGAAGAGACTCATACAGGCTTCTTTGAGGGGGCTCTGGGATCATGATGTCAATCTTCTCTGTGTTACATGACTAAGGACCCACACTTGAACCTAGGCCTTTATGTCTGCTCTTGTTTGCAGTCCCCAGCAATTAAACATTTTTGCTTTCTCGGCAGTTAATATAATAACAATAAAATACAGAATGACTATAATAAAGGAGATAAACGTTGACCGGGCTCTGGAAAATTTGGAATTCCATACATACATGCAGGTGGGAATGTAAAATGCCTCAGTTTCTTTGCGGGGGGGGGGGGGAATGTAGCATTGTTTGGAGAGATAAACACCATACTACTGTCAGATCCAAAAGAGACTGGGAGCAACTAGGGATCTGTGGTGCCGATTAGCATACCAGAGTGCACATTAGCCTCTTGCCAGCTCTGGAGCCCCAGCTTCTCCTTGACTGACCTCCAGGTCACTCCCTCAGCTTCTCATTCCTATATAACCCTGAGCCCCTTCCTCTCTTTGTCTTCCTCTATCTCCTCCCTCTCTTCTTTCATGGCCTGGTTGAGTCTACAAACTATGTTTAGTCTACTACTTTCTCTCCCTGCTCTGGACTCTTCCAGATGCTGCTGGCTATACTCTACAATGTATTTACATTCCCATCTGCAGTGTGTGAAGAAGTTCCAGTTTTCCCACAACCCAGTCAACATTTATCCTCTTTATTATAGTTATTCTGTATCTTCAATGAAAACTTTCTCCTTAGCTACCATGTTACCTGGAAATTTCACTTCTGCATCTAGAACAAAGAACAATGAAAATGGCCTCATACAAAACTGAATATGCTGCTTGTGCCAGCTAGTTCTTGTCAACTTGACATGAACTAGTGTCACCTGGGAAGAAAACTTCAGTTGATGCTTTCCTTGATAAATAATGGATATGTGAGGGCCCAGCCCTCTATAGAGGCAGTGCCACCCTTTGCATTAAAGAGAAAGCTGAACAAGCCACGGGGGGACCCTTTTATAAGCAGTGTTCATCGTAGTTTCTGCTTTAGTTCCTGCCTCCGGGTTCCTGCCTCAAGATCCTGATTTGCTTTTCCAAGTTGATGGACTGTAACTTGTAAGATGAAATAAACCCTGTCCTCCCTGAAGTTGTTTTGGTCAATACTATGTCTTGGACAGTTCTGTGAGAGGAAAGTAGAGGACTGAAGATCTTTCAGCTAGAAACACCACTAGGAAGATAATGCTTGGAGAATAATGTAATAGCCAAGAAATGCATATAACCTTGACATTTACTAACAGGTGAAATTCTGCAAGCAGTGGGGCATTATTAAGCCTAATAAAAGAAATACAGATATATTTTACACATAGGAGAACCTTGAAAGCAAAATGCTAAGTGAAAGGGACCAGTTAAAGGACCATTTATTTCCACTTACATAAAATGTTAAAAGGAGGCAATCTATGACGACAAGAATCAGATGAGTGGCTTCACAGAATTGGGAAAGGAGGGATTAAAGCAGTCTGAGGGCTATTTAGGGTTCATGTATGTTCATGTGCCATGTGTGTACCTGATGGGAGATGTCATTCTGTATATGTTTCTCATACTGGTTAATGAATAAAGCTCTGTTGGCCAATAGGAGGGACTAGGAGACAAGGAGGAAATAGGAAGGAGGAAGCAGGAGTCAAGATGGAGAGTCTGGAGAGAGCTGGACACCAGCTGCCTCCCTGGTAAGAGAAGGCCATGTGAAAATACATAGATCAGCAGAAATGGGTTAATACTTAAGACAGAGCTAGCCAATAAGAAACTAGTACCTGGCCAACAGTATAATATCAAATACAGAGTCTCTGTGTATTATTTGGGGCTGGCGTGGCGGCGGGACAAGACCAGCGGCGGGAGGAAAAACCGTACACCTTACATGTACCTGATGCTCAGGAAGGTCAGAAGAGGCCATTGGATCCCCTGGAACTGGAGTTATGGACAGCTGTGAGCTCCCAGTCAGTGCTCTGAATCAAATGTGGTTCCTCTGGAATAGCCAGTGGTCTTAACTGCTGGGCCATCTCTCCAGGACTATTTACTTATCATGTGTATATGTGTGTGTGAGTTTGTGTATGAGTACCACAAGTACGCAGGAGCCCACAAAAGTCAGAGGACATAGATCCCCTGGAATTGAATGTATAAACTATCATAAGCCACAATATGGATGCTGAAATTTAAACCCACGTCCTCTAACAAGTGCTCTTAATTGCTTGGCCATCTCCCTAACCAACTACCAATGCTATTTTTGATAACTGGATTAAAATGAGTTCTATTAGATTAACTTTTCACTCTTGGATGGCCAATTATGGAAGACTGTAAAGGCTAGGAAGAGTCACAGCAAACTCCCACAGCTCATTTTAGTAACAAAACAACATGTATTTTTTTTTTTTTTTTTTTGCACATTCAGAAACCAAAACTGGTGATAGAAGACTGGGTGGGGATTTTGGACCCTGAAGTCATCTGGTGAAATACACAGGAATCCAGGTACATATAGCAGTCTGGGACCTATAGAGGTAGTGGGTCAGTCATTAATGGATGCTAACTAATAGGTAACCATATAACAACCTTCAGGGAGTATTCAAGAGCAAGGGACAAATCCCTGGCAACAAAGGACAGACACAAAGGGCTGTGGGAGTAGAGGAAAGGGTGTTCCAAACCAAAGGGATGAGATAGGAGATGAGTGCTTCACAAGGTGTCCTGGAGCAAATGGCTTAAACCTTCTGTGAGTTATGGGTGGATAATCCCAGTGCCAACTTTATACAATGGTCATACCAGGAGAGGAAGAAGAGATGGAGATATCCTTTGTTTGGAGGAATGATCCCTGTATCCTGCAAGAAACTGCTATACAGGACCAGGGCAAGGTGTAAGAAATTGGAAGAAGTTAAAGAGAAGAAAGGGGGTAGAGGTGACACCTTTGTCTCAAGTCAAAGGAATGTAATGGTGAGGAATGGATTACTAGTAAGGGGCATGGGTCAACAGTCAAAGTCAGATTGTCTCACAGTAAAGTCTCAGCTTTTCAAATGTCAGAAGTCTGGGGATAAGAAACTAAAGGTAACTTTCTCTTTCATTTGGTAAGTCAGTTTAGAATTTAGTTTGGGACTTGAGTGAGTTTGCTTACTGACTCAATTATATACTGGTGACTTGAAGACTCTACAACGTACAGGCACTATGATGAATTGCCCATCTCCCAAGGAATATCTTGTATTCCAATCCAGAACACTAGAAAGCATGCCTTCTGCCTTCTTCCTTTCCTTTCCCTCTAAGCAGCCACATGAGCTCCTTCAGCAGAAAGGTTTGGTGGAGACTGGGGATATAGGTCAGTGGTGAGAATTAGCCTGGCATACTGGAAGCCCTAGACTCTACCCCTAGTACAGAAATTAATAACTAAATGAATAAACAAACAAACAAATAGTAAATATATAAATAAGTGAAAACTCTAAAATCTGATTATTCTAAAGCCTGACTCCACCAGAAAGCCTGGGAATTTTTAAAAATGTAAATCCCTAGACCTCCCCCTAAACTACTGAATTTGTGCTTTTAGGAGCATGGCTTGAGTACTATGGACAGTGTTTCCAACTACTTCTAATGCAGGGAGCCCTCTAAGTCTATTTTAAAACACTCAATAAAGAGCTCATAGGAAAGATACCTTGACAGCCTAGACACAAGGGTATGGAGGGGGTGGAGAGGTGCCTTGGTTCTCTCAGTGAGATGATGGGACAGACTTAGTAAACTTCTTAGGGGAAGCCTTACTCTCTCCAAGGAGGAGTGGGGTGGTAGGGGAGTAGGGGGAGCAGGAGGAGAGAAGGGAGGGGGAACTGGGATTGGAATGTAAACAATAAAATAATAATAATTTTAAAAAGAGCTTATAGGAAGTCTGAAGACGGTGTGGGACAGGGTCTGCAGCAAGAGGAGAAGGTCTGATCTTTTTTTCTTCCTTAAGGAAGGACCATGTAGGCTGCTGGGTTTTCCACTGTTGCTAACGCTTATGTTTAGGCAGGTCTCTTTGCTATTGCCCAGTGAGTAAGAGAACAGCTCATCTTCCTGTATTCAGTTGTTCCGGGAACTGTCATGAAAGTGGTTTTTTGTTTGTTTGTTTGTTTGGTTTTTGGTTTTTTGTTTGGTGTGTGTGTGTGTGTGTGTGTGTGTGTGTGTGTGTGTGTGTGTGTGTGATATGTGTGTGGGTGTCATTGGAAGTCAGAAGAGGGTCGTCAGGTCCTGTGGAGCT